GATCAACCTTATATCTATCCGAAATGTTTTCTCTAAATGTATAGATGTATACAACATATGTATATATGTTTGTATATTTACGCTCTACAATAAATGTAAATAAGGCAATAAAAAATAAAAATGTAAAGTCTTTCATTCATAACAAAACTAGTGAACATGGTTGGTAAATATATTAAATATAAGTACATTTAACACCTATGCAAACCTAATGATGTAACATGCCTATAACATCTCTTTGTTAGGTTTTGTAAATGGATTTGCTACCATATCGTGCGTAGATATATATTTCATATTCACTTCTTTTCGTGCAACTATATCCTTTACGAAATTGTATTTGATCTCTATATGTTTTGTTTTTTCATGAAATTTGAGATCTTTTGTATATGTTATTGCCGATTGACTGTTATAGTTCACAATTATTAGTTCACTAGCAATTCCATTAACTTATGAGGGTATTAGATGAGATTCTCTTAAAATCTCAAGGTCTCACACAATATTAAAGTTGAGATCTTAATTTTATTGTGCTTTGATCAAATTAGTATACATGTGGTATAAATCACATGTTACAGTATTCTCTCATTTCTCATGGAGTGCATGTCTTTTATTTCTTACAAATATCGTACATGTTGTAGTAAGATATACTCAATATCTAACTCGAGTTCACTTCAATACTTTTTTAACTCTTCAGAACTCTAATATGACAATGAGACAAATAAAGTGATAATTATTAAATTATTCACTTAGTGTCATAAACTTAGCAATTTTATTATGATTTAATTCCTCACCCTAATGAGTGGCAACAATTATTAATATTTAAGTTGGCTCTTAATTACTACCTAGGTAATTAGCTTAAATTTGTCTCATCTTTGTCATACCAATAACGAAGACAATTGCCTGTGTGAGAAGGCCAACCTTATAGCTGTCCGACATGTTTTCTCTAAATGTATAGATGTATACAACATATGTATATATGTTTATATATTTATGCTCTACAACAAATGTAAATAAGGTAATAAAAAATAAAAAAGTAAAGTTTTTCATTGATAACATAACCAGTGAACATGGTTAGAAAATATATAAAATGTAAGTACATTTAATAGCTATATAAACCTAATGATTTAACATGCCTATAATATGCATCTTTTGGTATAGGCTTTGTAAATGAATCTGCTACCATATCGTGCATAGATGTACTTCATGTTCACTTCTTTTCGTGCAACCATATCCTTTACAAAATTGTATTTAATATCTATATGTTTTGTTTTTCTATGAAATTTGGGATCTTTAGTATATTCTATTGTTGCTTGACTATCACAGTTCACAATTACTGGTTCACTAGTAATATCATTGACTCATGAGGGTATTAAATGATATTCTCTTAAAATCTCAGGGTCTCACATAATATTAAAGTTGAGATCTTAATTTTATTACGTTTTGATCAAATTAGTACACATGTGGTATAAATCATATGTTATGGTATTCTCTCCTTTCCCATAGAGTGTATGTCTTTTATTTCTTACAAATATCGTACATGTTGTAGTAAGATATACTCAATATCTAACTCGAATTCACTTAAATACTTTTTTAACTCTTCAAAAATCTAATATGACAACGAGACAAATAAAATGATAATTATTGAATTATTCACTAAATGTCATAAACTTAACAATTTTATTATGATTTAATTCCTCACCCTGATGAGTGACGATAATTATTGATATTTAAGCTGACTCTCAATTACCACTAGGTAATTAGCATAAATTTGTCTATCTTTGTCATACCAATAACAAAGGCATCTGCCTATGTGAGAAGGTCAACCTTTTATGTGTCCAACAGGTTTTCTCTAAATATATAGATGTATACATATGTATACATGTTTATATATTTATGCTTTACAATAAATGTAAATAAGGAAATAAAAAATAAAAAAGTAAAGTCTTTTATTGATAACATAACCAGTGAACATGGTTGGAAAATATATAAAATGTAAGTACATTTAACACATATGCAAACCTAATGATTTAACATGCCTATAATACGCATATCTTGGTATAGGCTTTGTAAATGGATCTACTACCATATCGTGCATAGATGTATACTTCATGTTTATTTCTTTTCATGCAACCATATCCTTTACGAAATTATATTTAATATCTATATGTTTTGTTTTTTCATGAAATTTGGGATCTTTAGTAGATGCTATTGCTGTTTGACTGTCACAGTTCACAATTACTTATTCATTAGCAATACCAATGACTCATGAGGGTATTAGATGAGATTCTCTTAAAATTTTAGGGTCTCACACCAATATTAAAGTTGAGATCTTAATTTTATTACACTTTGATTAAATTAGTACACATGTGGTATAAATCACATGTTACGGTATTCTCTCATTTCCTATGGAGTGTATGCCTTTTATTTCTTACAAATATCTACATGTTGTAGTAAGATATAATCAATATCTAAGTTGAGTCCACTTAAATACTTTTTAACTGTTTAGAACTCTAATATGACGATGAAACAGATAAAGTGATAATTATTAAATTATTCACTTAGTGTTATAAACTTATCAATTTTATTATGATTTAATTTCTCATCTTGATGAGTGACGACAATTATTAATATTTAAGTTAGCTCTTAATTACTACCTTGGTAATTAGCTTAAATTTGTCTTATTTTTGTCATACCAATAACAAAGGCAATTGCCTTTGTGGGAAGGCCAACCTTATAGCTATCCGACATGTTTTCTCTAAATGTATAGATGTATACAACATATGTATACATGTTTGTATATTTATGTTCTACAACAAATGTAAATAAGGTAATAAAAAATAAAAAAATAAAGTCTTTCATTGATTACATAACCAGTGAACATAGTTGGCAAATATATAAAATGTGAGTACATTTAACACCTATGTAAACTTAATGATTTAACATGCATATAATATGCATCTCTTGGTGTAGGCTTTGTAAATGGATCTGCTACCATATCGTGCATAGATATGTACTTAATGTTCACTTCTCGTGCAACCATCTCCTTTACAAAATTATATTTAATATCTATATGTTTTATTTTTCCATGAAATTTGGGATCTTTAGTATATGTTATTGCTGCTTGACTGTCACAATTCATAATTATTAGTTTATTAGCTATACCATTGACTCCCAAATGGTCCATAAACATTTTTAACCAAATAGTTTCTTGCACTGCAGCTAAAAAAACTATAAACTCAGCTTTCATTATGGAAATGGCTATTCATGATTGTTTCTTATTGGTTCATGATATGACACCAAATTTTAGTAGGAAAGCATATCCAAAGGTAGATTTTTTTTTTTTCATCTAAGTCTCCTCCCTAATTAGCATCCATATAATCCTTCAAGTGTAAATCAAAACACTATTATCCCCGAATATGGAACAGTCAGGGCACGCAAATCACATTGATTCCCCGTACACTCGAACATGAAACGATATATCTGGGTGCACATTTATCACTTTACCAATACACTCAAAGACGTAATGACATGTATAGGCACATTGAAGCTTAGCATAATGTAAGTGCATTCAGAATAACTCATTTCTATAATAAGTGACACACACATACTAAAATCATATTTCAAAAATAAAAAATAAAGTAACACTTATATCGAAGTAAAACTTTAACAAATACTTACTTAGCACATATAAAAATACAAATAAAATAATTTCCAAAAATATGTGAGCCATGATATCACAATATCAACTTGAACATTTTTTATACTTAAAGTACGTAAAATATTTCAAAGCTACGTACGTTAATGAATTCATAATACCCACTTATCTTAGATCCAAAGTAGTCATATTTCAAACCTTTCATTTTTATCTATAGCTTTACAAATTCCTTTGGCAAAGTTTCGGGATGATTTGAGTTACTTTCTTTCTTTCTCATGAGTTATAACATTTTTTTGGCCATGAGCCTTCTTCATCTTCTCTTTTTTTTTCTTTGTTCTCACAAATTTAAAAATATTTTTCCTAAGATTTTTTTCTAAAGAAAACCTCATAATACTCTCAACAAAATCACACACTTCACACTTTTTCTTCTTCCACCATCTCTATGTTTTTTACTCTTTCTCTCCCATCCGCAATATCTCTTCCTCTATTCCCAAATCTCCTATTTATAGAAGTGGAGAACCACAAGAGAAATGTTGCCTCTCTTCTACCATTCCACTTTATATTGTTACTTTTTATTATGTTACTTTATCTAAAAAGTTCTCACATTTTTTCATGTCTCTTCATGTTTATTTTAGATTCTTCCACACTCTTCCAGTTGTTTCCTCATCTTGTCATTAATTTTTTGTTTGATTTTAAATTTGAGCTGAAATAGAGCCCATTAGACTCCTTTAGGCCCACATAAGCCCATAAAGCCTAAATAACAAACCATTATAAATCTCTTTATATTTCTCTCAGTTTTTTTTTTTATGTTTGACTATAAATTATATCATCAACCTTAAGACAAAATTTATTACATCAAACACAAAAAATTAATTTGAAATTAATTTCGAGGTATCACAAAATATATAGTAAGATGTACTAATAACTAAAGTTACATAAATTAAAAGATTATTAATTTTAATAAATTAATTTCCCAATTAAAAATATTTTATAATTAAATAATGTTATATATTTAACAATCATAAATTTAAGATATTTCTTTATATAAATAAATAAAAATATTAACTGAGTTAAAAAAAATAGTAACAATAAATTCTAGATATTAATAAATAAACAAATTTGAATACTTAAACAAAAAATATATTAATAATGATAAAAGACTTACAAAAAAAAAGATCACTTATAAGTTTTAGTTTTAAGGTGTTATCTAACTAAATAAAGATATTAAATAAATTAAAAATTGAAACATAATTATGGCGTATTGTATTAAACACAGTGACGGTAATATTATATTATAACATGATTTATCATTTAAACATTATTATTATGTAATTTACTTCATCATCCATTCCTTCTTTTGTTTTTCTCTTTCTGTCTTCTTTCCTCTCTTTTAGAATTCGTTCTATATTTATTTCAGTGTAATTCAGTTCCGCTCTCCACATTTCGATTCTCTGTCACTACTCTCCGGATTTTACTTAGGAAGTTGATTTCGCTTTCTGATTCCTGGATTTATTTTGCTCTTGGTCCCTGAATTCACAGTGATATTCAATAGATGAGAATTCAACTTTTCAATTCGCCGATTTTTCTATGTTTATGAAAATGAGCAATCATGTGACATAGCTTGCTTTGATCTCGCGGAAGCGAAGATTGAGAGATCTAAGCTTCCAGTTCTGCCAGAATTTCTAGTTTAGAATTCTATTTCCCTCTTCTTTTCGCGTTTTCTCTTTGCAAGTGGTGTTTGTGTGGAAACTTGGTGGATTGGAAGGGCGAAAATGTCCAAGACAGTATATGAAGGATGGATGGTAAGGTACGGAAGGAGAAAGATCGGCCGATCGTTTATTCACATGCGATACTTCGTGCTCGAGCCTCGACTTCTCGCGTATTACAAGAGGAAGCCCCAAGATAATCAGGTGAAAAGGAAATGGTTGACTCGATGTTGCTTGCTTGGTTTACTGTTTTGAGGAAAACTTGTACACTTGAGAGTGGCTAGCTTTGATGAATATTTTCTTATTCCTTTTTATTTCTGATGTTGGAAGCGAGAAAGTGCTTTTAGAAATGCTAGTTTTAAGCATCTTTGATGATCGGTCTTGAGTAGCTTTAGACGATGACTATTATATTAGAGTAAGAGCATCTTGTAGGGAAAGGAGAATGATGCTAAAGAAAAAAAGGGGGGAAATGGGATTTTAGCAATTTTTTTAAAAATTAGTTTGCTTTCTTTTGCTTTGTATCTTTACGTAATCTATCCTGTTCAGAGCTGAATTTTACAGCTTTCTAATTCAGTTCTGAACTTGATGGATTTGAAAGCTATTCCCAAATAATGAAAATTTTGATTAAAAGTTGTTCGTGCTAAATCAGGTCCCAATCAAGACCATGTTAATAGATGGCAATTGTAGGGTGGAGGACCGGGGATTGAAGACTCACCATGGACATGTGAGTATATTTTCTTATTTTTTAGTGATGGACACCCGTAAAATTTTATTCCATAAAACATGTGTAGTATGCATATATGTGTTTATAAACATTTATTATGTATACTATTTAAGTATGTGTACATGTGTCTGGATATAGGTAGAGAATGTGTATGCATACAAAGACACATTCCTTATTGTTGACAAAATTCTTTTTTGAAGTATAAAGTATGAATTGTATTTATATAGGCACAAAGGGGATGCTGCCTATGTACAAAACATACAAGTCTATCAATGTATCAAAAGGTTTCGCTAAATTCTCCATGGAGCTAAGAGAATGACCTTGTAATAAAATTGAGACATAAAGTTAATGGCTTCAAGAGTTGGGACTCCATTGGTATATTTTTGAATTTCATCTCTGAGCATTGGTGGAATCCTGCATATACCTTCAAATTGACCCCCTAACTTTTTGTTATTAAAACATTATGTTGGAAAGATTATCGTTTTCAAGTCAATTAAGTGCAAATATATGAACAGTTACAATCCTCATGTTCTTAGATGTAATGGCATAATCTCATATGATCTGGAAATACATAAAGCTTCTGTGATGATCTTAGATGAACAAGTACAACTTTTTTTTGGGGGGGATGAAAGAATAGGTTTACTACAAATTGTAATGGAAGAGGCTAAGCAATCCTCCATATGGAGAAAAGGAAACAGCGAAAAACCGAAAGACAAGGTAAACCAACCAAAAACTTTGACTTTAATATATATCTATATATATTCTTTTTGATAGGAGAAAATCGAGTATGAATACTATGATTATGGCTTAAAAGTTAATGTTATTTATTATCAGAAAAAAATCGGCTGGGATCCAACCACTTGCATGTCTTGACAGATCAAAAAACTATTTGCCTCTGCAAAATATGATAGAATTTCAAAATTAGATTTTAAAGTTCTGCAGCAATCACAAATGAGTCGTTCACTTTGTAAATAGTTTTGAAAGGAGTTTACAAGGGTTCATCGTGTCTATACTAGATGATGAGGCTGCTTACTTCTGATATCTGGGGTTTGCCACTATTGAAATTTGTAATAAGTTTAGTATGGATTTGCATAGAAGGTATTGCTATATGAAGACTCGATTTTGATAGAAAAACGTTGCTTTCATAAAAAATGCACTCATGTCACGACCTCATGGACTGTCCAAGTGAAGGCCAAGATGTTTTAGGCCATGGACAAAGGCCATATGGGAACATACAAGGGTTAAACACAACATATGATGGACTTGGAACACATGGAAGGATTATCACAAGTTTAAGGGCCAAAGAATTCAAGAAAGCCTTGCAAACTTTTGCACAAGAGTGGATTCTTGAAGAAAAAAAGACTTAGAACAAATTTGAAAGTCCATAAGGGAAGAAGGGAGCTGGCCATGCGAGGCCCTACAAAATAGGGGCACATGGTCGAGAGAAAAAAAAACTCTTCCACCCATGAGATTTTCTCCTCTCTTCATCTCCATCCAAAATTCAGCTTCAAGAGTCCTAATCCAAGTAGGACTCATGATAATCAAGCTTAAAAAGTCCTATGTCATCTTTTCAAGAGTCTTAGTTAAATTTTCCTTTCACAAAATCATATTAAATAAGTATTTGAGTCATCTTAAACATAGAAAGATCAAGGGAGCTTATCTACACCTCATGGTCAATTTTCTCCTAGATTTTCTCAAGGAAGAAGAGTTCTTTTCTTCATCAAACTTGGCTGGATTTTAGCTCATCTTCAACACTAAAAATCATTAAAATAAAGGAGTCCAAACTGTGCAAGATAATCCAAGATAAAGTCAGCATAATCCTTGAAGATTTCAAAGACTATTTAAGAGAGAAGAGTCATGTTTATGTTAAGTTACAAGTCTTTATTTTATTATTTTCTTTAAAAGCCGTAGATAGGAATTCAAGATATGTTTCATAGATTTTAGATTTTGAGTTCTATTATAATTCTTTGGGGTTATGGCTATAAAAGGGCCTTACTTCTTTAGTTGTAATCAATTTAAGTTCAAGTTTAATAAAATAAAAGCTTTTTGCTTGGGTTAGCCTTCGACTTTTGAGTGCTCATTGGAGAGGTTTTCTTCAACCTTTCTTGTTGAGTAAATAATTGATTCAACTTATCAAGATAACTTTTGTAGCATTTTACCGATTCTTTTTCTTTTTGCCAATTACCTTTGTTCTTAATCACAGGTGATTGTGGGTTAAGTTGGAAGAGTTTATTTAGGGGTTAAGTTTTTGTACCAAATTGTATGTGTGGGTTTTTAATCACATTACTTGATCCAAGGTTCTGAATAAGGTTTTGAAACCAATGATCCTACATTCTGGCTATTGGGGTTTCTTCCAACCATGAGAAGCTTTTGAATTCCTCTTGTTCAAGAAATCTAAAAGACCAAAGATGGAAGGAAGGCTATAGACCGTTCCTTTATACGTTTGGAGCATTGGTGGGCCCTACCAAGCGTGATTATCATCCATAACAGACTCTTGTTTATCATTCTATTTTATTTTCTTGGTAAGAGAAGAAATATTATTATATTGAGAGAATAGAAGAAATATTTTACCATCGGACACTTTGCCTTTCAGTATTATATTGGGATTGTTCCTTTGTCTGTAGACACTTCACCATTAGAGACTTTG